AGTTAATCCGGTTCGAGTATTCATGACTCAACCAGCTTCCATGAGCTGGCGATTAGCAAAATGGGCCTTACTCTTGTCCTAATACGACTTGCATTTTAAACAACAGAAGTCAGTAAAAGGGCAGGCCATCTGTGATCTCTTGGCAGCTAATCCAACTACGGACACCGCCGAGATATATGACGACCTACCTGATGAAACCCACGAAGTCAACGCAACTTCGCACCAACAAGTATGGCGTTTGTACTTCGATGGCGCTTCCCGAGCAGCTATTGTCACAGGTACTCCTGGATGTTCTAAGACTTCTTCCGGAGTTGGAGTCATCTTAGTTTCCCTGAGAAAACACGTGATGCCTCGAGCTTACTCGTTGACTGAACCGTGCTCAAATAACGTAGCCGAATATAATGTTGAGTATCTTGAAGCCTTCGGTGATTCTCAACTGATAGTCAAACAGGTTCAAGGAGAATATGAAGTCCGAAGTCAGGATTTAATTCCATACCATAAGATGGCAGTAGAGATGGCAGAATCATTCGAAGGATTCTTTATCGAACATATTCCACGACTACAGAATACCTATGCAGATGCGTTAGCAGCATTGGCCGTATCTCTGGCACAACCTCCCGAAGCAGAGCAGTTTGTTACGGTAAGAACTCACCAACTCCTAGTACCGCTTTATAATGAAGATGCCAAGGAAGAAGAGGTTCAAGAGGTGCACGCTACTCAAGTCGAGTTCGAACCACGAGATTGGCGTTTCCCCATCATCGACTACGTCTTGCATGGAATCTTGCCAGAAGATGTGAAGGAAAGAGAGTCAATCAGACGAAGAGCACAAAGATTCTACTATAATACGGAGAATCGAACGCTATACCGCAGGGGGTACGATGGGTAGCTAGCACGTTGCTTATCAACCAAAGAAGCTGAAGAGGTCCTTAGGGAGGCGCATGAAGGAGAGTGTGACGCACACCAACCTGGTCCCAAGCTTTATGACCGCATCAGAAGAATGGGATATTTTTGGCCTTTCATGATGAGTGATACAATCGCATATGCCCGAAAGTGTAATGCATGTCAAATACATGGGAATTATATGCACCAACCTCCGGAGCATCTGCATCCTTCGGTTACGTCATGGCCGTTCAAGACTTGGGGAATGGACATTGTTGGCCCTATAAATCCCCCATTAGTCAAAGGTGACCGGTTCATCCTGGCAATTACCGATTACTTCTCCAAATGGGCTGAAGCAGTTCCACTCTGAGAAGTTAAAACGAGTAACGTCATTGCATTCATCAAGCGCCATATCATCTATAGGTATGGTGTTCCAAGACGAATCATACATGACAACGGTCCTCAGTTTGTCAGCAACGCCTTCATAAGGTTCTGCGAAAAGTTTAAAGTTCAGGATATCTCGTCAACGGCTTATAATCCTACAGCGAATGGATTAGCTGAAGCCTTCAACAAGGCTATCATCAAACTCTTGTCAAAGATCGTGAGAACTAATAAACGAGACTGGGATGACAAGCTTGGCGTGGCTCTCTGGGCCTATCGGACCACGGTGCGCACACCGACGGGAGCAACCCCGTATTCACTGGTATACGGATGTGAAGCTGTTCTTCCATTGGAGATTCAAATCCCGTCTCTTCGGATCGCTCTTGCAACCCAGATGACGACCGAAGAACAACATCAGAAACGCCTCGAAGAACTCGAGAGGCTCGATGAAAAGCGCCTGGAAGCTCAACAACATATTGAGTTTTACCAAGCTAGAATTTCTCGAGCCTTCGACAAAAAGGTTCGACAAAGGAGTTTCAAAGAAGGGGATTTGGTTCTAACTGAAAGACGGCCTATGATCCTTAACTCCAAAAAGAAGGGCAAATTTGAACCCAAATGGGAAGGGCCATTCGTAGTAGAGACAGTTTACTCGAACGGCGCATACCGCTTAGTCACCAAGGATGGTGACCGGCTTATGATGCCAATAAATGGCAAATTCCTGAAAAGATACTATCCTTAGTATCTTCAGGAAAATTGATGTATCGGGAAGTTCTCGGAAGAATATCATATGAGGTATTCTTAGGGATAACCCAATCATTATAGGAGCGATGAATAAGAAATTCTCGTTCGAACTCTGAATGTCGGAATGTTCCTTCTTACTGTCAAATTCTCTAATTCTTATAAGTTATTTTTGTGAGATGAGATCCAACCCTCTGACAGGTTAATCTTTCCTCACCAAACCATCCGCTGATCAAATTAATCGACAGTGGATTCACCAAAATTTCTATCTGCCAGTCATTGGCAATTCTCAGACTCAACAAGTTAGGTTCTAATCACCTAGCGTTAAAGTCTTCCTTTGAGTGATAATACGAGTTGGCACTTTCCTCGCTACCTGTATTCCACTTTCTTTGCTTTCGGGTCAAACCTATAAAAGTTAGGACCAAAGCCAAATTCCTCTCTCGATTTCTTCCATGAACGAGAGGTCCACTTTCAGTTTGAAAAATCAAACTTATAAAAGTTAGGATTGTTCCCGATCTCACTTAGTCAAGCCTACAGGTAGCTAGGACTAAGACCGAGTTATCCCTTTTCGATAAACGAAAATCTGCCTTTGCTCTTTTTCCACCAAACCTATAAAAGTTAGGGTCGAAGTTGAGCTTTCTCCTCAATGAATGAGGGATTCTTTGGGTTCAAATGACCAATCCTATAAAAGTTAGGGTCGTTCGAACCTTTCTGATTCTCGGAGTGGAGATCCCACTTTTAGTTTCATCTTGTCGGATTCTGGGGGTGGAGATCCCACCTTGAGTTTTCTTTCCGACTGTAGATAGAATATAAAATTCTTCCTCTTCAGTCCTGGAAGATAGAATATAAAATTCTTCCTCTCCCGTTTCCCAATCCGTCTTTATTCTGATAAAGGACACAATTTTCAAGTTCCAATCCGGGCACTTTGTGCACGGGGAATTTTATCTCAACTCCTAAATAGAGATAAGTCTACGCCTAACACGCGTTGCCGGTTTAGTCTTTCAGCGATTGAAAAAGACACCAGAGTCTAAACACCTAACACGTGTTGTCGGGTAGCCTATTCCTGTAACAAGGGCAAAGCCTATGTATTCGGAATCATAGCACAAAGTCTTAGAGGATTCACTCTCTTAGCACAACGTTACATGCGGAACGGATTTAGACAATCCGCGTGCTAGCCCGATTCAAACGGTAATCGGTAAAGGCACATCAAACCCGTTGAAGGCTGGGGGTTTGCCAAAAATCCCAAAGTCTATGTCTAACACACATTGCCGGTTTAGTCTTTCGCCGATTGAAAAAGACACCAGGGCCTAAACCTGGGGAATTTTATCCCGAAGCCTAAGAAGGGATAAGTCGTCGTCTAATACGCGGCGCGGGGTACCTTTTCCCTATAAGAAATGGTTAAGCCTATGTATTCAAAATCATAGCATCAAGTCTAAGAAAAACGATTTTTTTTAGCGCAACGTTACATGTGAGACGGGTTTTAATAATTCACATGCTAGCCCGATTCAAACGGTAATCGGTAAAGGCATATCAAACCCGTTGAAGGCTGGGGGTTTGCCAAAAATCCCAAAGTCTATGTCTAACACGCATTGCCGGTTAGTCCTTGACCGTAAAAAGGACAAAAGACCACATATTCAACATTGTGGCAGGTTGTTATTAATAACACCATAATCCGTGCCTCACACGCACGGGGAATTTTATCCTAAATCCTAAGTAAGGATAAGTCGACGCCTACCACGCGTTGCCGGGTAGTCTATTCCCGTGAGAAAGACGAAGTCTACGTATTCAATATCGTAGCACTAAAAGGGTTAACTCTTTTAGCTTAAACGTCACATAGGAGCGGACTTAAACAATCCGCATGCTAGCCCGACTCAAACGGTAGTCGGTAAAGGCTAATCAAATCCGTTGAAGGCTGGGGATTAGCCAAAAATCCTAAAGTCAACGCCTAACACGCGTCGCCGGGTAGTCTATTCCCGTGAGAAAGACGAAGTCTACGTATTCAATATCGTAGCACTAAAAGGGTTAACTCTTTTAGCTTAAACGTCACATAGGAGCGGACTTAAACAATCCGCATGCTAGCCCGACTCAAACGGTAGTCGGTAAAGGCTAATCAAATCCGTTGATGGCTGAGGATTTGCCAAAAATTCTATAACTGAGAGTCATTGACGCATCAACTCCACTGGTTGGTCTCGTGACTCGAGCACCCAACAAATTCAGGATAAAATCCACACATGCAGATGAATCAACTTTAACAGTTGGTCCTGCAACCCCAACATTCGGGACCGCGATGCTCCAATACCTTAAGAGCTTAAACTGTGTATACTCCAGCAAACGTACGAGTATAAACTGTGTTAATGGCGATCCGTAAACCCTAGGGTCAGCGCCGGTCAACGCGTTTCATCCCGAATCCTAAGTAGGGATGAGTCAACGCCTAATACGCGTTGCCGGATGCCATATTCCCGTAAGAAATGGCGAAGTCTATGTATTCAAAATCATAGCATTAAGTCTAAGAGGGTTACTCTTCTTAGCAAAACATTACATGTGAAACAGGTTTAAATAATTCACATGCTAGCCCGATTCAAACGGTAATCTATAAAGGCACATCAAACCCGTTGAAGGCTGGGGGTTTGCCAAAAATCCCAAAGTCTATGTCTAACACACATTGCCGGTTTACTTTCGCCGCTAAAAAGGTCTAAGCCTGGGGAATTTTATCCCGAAGCCTAAGAAGGGATAAGTCGTCGTCTAAAACGCGATGCGGGGTACCTTTTCCCTATAAGAAATGGTTAAGCCTATGTATTCAAAATCATAGCATCAAGTCTAAGAAAAGCGATTTTTTTAGCGCAACGTTACATGTGAGACGGGTTTTAATAATTCACATGCTAGCCCGATTCAAACGGTAATCGGTAAAGGCATATCAAACCCGTTGATGGCTGGGGGTTTGCCAAAAATCCCGTAAATCTTATCATCGCTGGGTTTAAAATAAATGAAGAAATATCATGAAGGAATCAAATGCGGAGTCTCTATTAATAGATCAAGTCAAGGCATACAATAAAGAGCTCGTTAGCCCGAAGGCAGCTGACGGCTAAGGACATGAGACTCTAAACTAGAAAGCCTATCTATATAACTCTGCTCAAGTTCTGCCTGTAGACCAGCCCGGACGGATTCCTCAGAACTGCTCAAGATCTTCACGGCTTCATTCTTCAGCTTCATCAATCTCTCCTGTGTAGATCCTAGCTTCTCGAGGGCCTGTCCACGAGAATGCTCTACTCCAGCCAGGTCTTCTGCAATGATAATAATGGACTCCTCGGCACTCTTCAAGGCCTCCTTCAGCCTAGCCACTTCCTCGCGACCGAAATCCAAAGAGCGGAGTAGCTCGGCCCTATCTGTATCCCTCTTCGCCACGGTAGCCATCAGCTGCGCAACTGAACGCTCATGTGACTGAAGCTCACTGCTGATGGAAGATCTCAGGTCGCGCCACTGTGCCAGCCTATGCTCCATCTGAGAGGACACGAAGGAAGAGACCCCATTAGCCTTCAGCTCCTTCAACTCTCGGATCTCCGACTCCAGAACAGCAAAATCGGCAGTGAAGGAATCGGCCAACTCTGGATACCCTTCTTCTCTGAACATCGGCATGTGACGAGAAAAGGAACGCCTGAACTGATCGAAGCCATATCCTCGATGAAGAAGTTTCTCGATCATGCCGTTATAAAAGACGGTAAAAAGGCCGAGGTCTGTACGAAAAATGTCTTTGTCGGGATCGGTATCAGCCAAGAGGACGCGGACACGCTCATATAGGGATGATCGAGGTCCTACAAGAAACAGTGCGGAAAGCTAAGAGATTATCGAATACGATAAGAAAATTTAAAGGCAAATTCCGAGCATACCAATGCCAACGGAGGTGCCAACGGAAGTCCCCTCAGGCTGAAATCCGACAGGTTCCGAAATAACTGCAGGAGTAGGCATGGAGGGTATATCAACCCCTGTAGGCAAATCAGTCATACCTCTCGGCTGTGGCGGGGAAACACCGCTCTCAGGCAAACTATCAGTCCCAGAAACTGTAGTGGCATCAGGCACAACGGCTGGTCCTATAGTTGCACTTCTTTGTTAGTCAAAATAAAAAAATTTAGACAAATAAGGAGGGTCGGGATGATAAGGTCATCTGCATACCTGTAGGTCCATCATCCTCAGGTATCCGGGGAATGCCAGGAGTCATAAGAGTATCAGTCCCGGTGGCTGGTCCTATGATTGCACCCAATATTAGTCAAAAGTCAGATAAATAAAAAGGAGCACGATGTCCCTAAATCGTATGCGTACCTGCAAGTCCGTCACTCCGAGGTAAGCTAGATATGCCGGGAATCGATATTGGGTTAGTCCCAATGACTGGCGCTGTAATATTAATCCTTCGTTAGTCAGACAAAAGATCAGGCAAAATGAAGGGAATCAGATATGTACCTGTGAATGAATCACTCTCAAAGGGTGGTCCCACAGTTCCTCTGGTGGCTTGTTCAGCCAACATGTCGGCAAATAATCCAATGTCAGGTCCCGGGAAACTTGGTGCGGAGGCATACCCCTGTTCCTCGAAACCTACATCATGAAAGGCCTCATCCTCAACTGGTTTCTCTATT